CAGAATAGAGGGGAACATATACTGTAGTGATTGAAAATGAATTACGACATAAAAATAGTAAAACTTTAGGGTTTCTTCCTAGAAAATTGTTTGTACTGCGATAAGTAAATACAACGGTAGAAGTGCCTATTGATAATGGAAATTTGTTAATTACGAATGACAAACTTCCGAAATTTATTAAAAATACACATTGTTCCTTTGCGCTCACAACTGAAAATTAATTTGAATAAGATATATGTCGTCCAATTTTCAACTTTTTCGGAACTATTTAATTTAAATTTAACCAATATAACACAGTGTCGACAAAAAAGATAGAAAACTATAAAATTTTAATAAGCAGATACCACTTATGTTGCATTACAACATGCTACTAGAAGGGTAGGATTTATCTGAATGATATCAGGTAGAATTTGCCGTTATGTTTCTGGACGAATGCAGTGTTCATCAGGATACCAATAGGTAAATGTGAACGAAACAGTTTGATATTATCAAAGAATATTATCATCAGTCATTTCGAACAAATATAGGTAACTCCAAAAAAAAATTGTGTATCGCAAAAATTTAGGATATACGATCAATCCACTGTTTTTCGTTGTCTACATGTCGTGAGGCATCGATAGCAATAGTAACGCCTCCGTGGACACTTGATTGAACTTGATGTGTCAGTTGATCGGAAAAGGGCTGGCAGTCATACAGCCCTGTCAGATCGAATAAAATGAGAAGAAATGTACATCGAATGGTGATTAATGGCGTCTGGAAATTTAGTGATAAATTTACTTTCTCGTCGAACTTGGGAAAAACTAATCAATTGAAAAGAAACGTGTTTCTTCGCAAAGTTTTTGTTGACTGATTGTGCTGGCCAAGTTTCTTCTAATGCGACTTTTTCAAGGAAAAAGTTAAGATCACTTGCTACTTACATTTGTATTACAGCTTTAGCATATGACATTGATCACTTTATTAAAAAATTACTCGATGCTTTTCGATTTAATTATTAATCTAAATTTAAATTTCAGTTTCACTTCATAACTTGAAACGCCTCATACGCGAAGGAAATTATTTAATTGCTACTGCAACATACAACTGTTTGTAATTAAAATGTAGTAGTTTAACAAGCAATATGTCAATAAATGTTGCTGTAAACGTACTGATTGCAATTCGAATTCAAGTGACCTATGTGCTGTCGAAAAAATAAATGCATAAGTAAAAGAAAAGTTACATTTTTATTCGATGATTTATTGAAATTCTGTTCTACCTACGAAATTTTGTTGTGATAACTGTAGCTTTACTACAACTTAATTTACTTCTTGGTCACGTAGACTGTTTGTGTGCGAAATATATGTGACTGAACTCGCCCCAAGAGTGTAGGATGTTAGATGTTATTACAGTTGTTTAGCTTCTCAGGATATCAGGCTGGTTTCTTGATTCAAAAGTAACCTAATGGGGATGTTATACAAACGATTGTTCCCCAACTGTGGTTGTACGGTTGTAAGAGCAATAAAACTAGCGTATTGTTCGAGTAAACATGGACGAGAAAGTGCGGTAGGGCTTCAATCTTTAGAAAAAATTTGAAACGATAACCGCGAAAAGCAATCGCGTTTAAACAGAATTAAACGGAGTATATACTTAAATAAAATGTTTCGCCCGCAGTTTGTTGTAATAAAAAGTAAAAAGGGTAAAATTTAATAGTAAAACTGAACCACTAACGATAAACAAAATTTCAACACATGCATGATACCTGTAAGTATCTTTCACTACGCACAAACTATATGTATAGAATTGGATAAATTTTGAAAAATTAGTTAATTAATAAATAGGTCAAAACTATTGCAGAGTTTAATAATTTTTAATAATTTGTTATACGTTTACAAAAAGTATAACTATATACGGTATATTACAATAACTCATTAAGGAAACATGATTAGACGGTGAGAGATTGGACCCTTTACACTGAGTATATAAGCAGAGTTTGTATACCCAATATCATGTTTGCCATAATTAGCTCCCGTTGATACAAAGCAGCTCAAACAGTGATTAATTAATTCAACCAAAAACTCACCTATGGTTGTTATCTTGCACCATTAAATTAGGATAATGACTTAGGTACGCCAAAACTTTTAGAGTGAGATTAGTAAAAATTAAGTTTTAAATGAAATTATTGAAAGACTGCCCTTAAGCCATCGAAATTATTTGTGGGATGATCAGTTAGGATGGCAGTACATAATATGTAACATATCTGCGTACTTTACAGGTACGTTAGTTGATTCTCGGTCAAGCACTTGCTCCTTTCTCGGGCCGATGGATGCGATGTTGTTCCCGTTTACTCGACAACAATTCAGTCAAAGTTTGGGGTCCTTTGGGATCTGTTTGTTCCGAAATGGACATTTCGCTTCTTGCCTTCACTTTGGAGAAAATTCTTGAAAACTTCTCCGGACTCTCTTAACTTCCATTTGTTATTTTATAAAATACATTGTACGAAAGTTTAGAAAGGAAGCGAAGTTTGCCTTAGACGCAGGTGAATGAAATTTAAGTTCACTTTGTTAACATAATCTGATTTCAAAGGAGAGCTGTTACTTAAACTTTTATTTCCTACGCTATTTTTGGTAAAGTAAACAAAGGAAAACAAAAAAAAAACATTAGCTGACACTTATTATATTATTTATTATACCTATTGGGGTAGTTTTAAAACGGTTGTCTGTAAAGTCGGTTTACTGACGATAGTTGAACGTGACAACGTCATAAGAAAATACTGATGGAATGGTTTAATTTTTCAAAAGAAAATTTTAATTTTATCTATTTGATAGATATTTTGTATGGATATAGAGAATGAGGTAAATGTAAATGTATTATTGTATAGCAGCTGTCCACGCGGACGCATCGCTCACTCAAGTAGGAGAGAGACAGATGTCGAACGCTGCCGAACGCGGAGGCCGATTGTGCCTCTTTGTCGCTCGTTCCGCGCTCTCGCTTGCACTTCAAGCCTTAAATGGAACGCCTCAGAGCGAGGTAACGCCGCATGAGTCATGTTTTTTCGTGCGTGCATCGATTTATAAGACGTTGTCACGTCAAAAAAAAAAATAGGTGTTCGAATTTGTAAATTTGACATTCTTTTTCCTGGTAGCGATTTAAACGGTCGTAGCTAAATATATAAAACATTTTATAATCGCAAATAAATGTTGAACTTATCAAATTGAATAAGCTTTCCCTATTTATCTGTCCCTCTTCAATTTCTGTTTCTCTCTTGACTGCTGCGCCATTACATGGATTATTAACATTAATGCAACGGTCGTATGCTAAACAGCGCGTAAACTGTCTTTATTGTTCTCCAAGTTTCATAGCCTTGGTGTAATGGGATCATAAATATCCAACACTGTGAAATCTCATTCACTCCAATTCCTGCTCATCATATTAAGTCGAACAATTAAATGTCAATTAAATCTCACTAAAACGTAACGGAGGCCATTTTTCGGTTCATTAAATACATTTATAACTAATATTAATTAAAGACGTCGTGTATCGAATTATTGCTTCGGACGGGTATCGCACGACTGACGCTCTTTGCCGCTTTGTCGTGCACCTATTAAAGGGATTCCCACTATACCTAATCGTTGTTTTGTCGCTCGTACAAATTCTGCTTGATGCAAGGGGTTGGATATTGTGAACTCATTATTGCGGGACAGGAGACAGTCAATAATGTTCGCTTGCCCGAAGGTATTAGTTTACTTCGTTCATCGTCTTGGAAACCGTGGACAATATATAGACAGTTCAAGTGAAATGAATATATCGAATTGAAGGGGAAAAGCCACAAACAGATCTCCTCGATGGCGTAAATGGAAAAGTAATTTACTGAAGTTGCAGATCAATATTGTTTCTTTTTCTTTTGGAGTTATTACCATTTCTGATGATGAACATCTAAAAGGCATTAATTAATTCTAAAGATAACCCGTTTGCTTCGCCAAAGATTACGCATTATGCATATGAAGTAATTCTTGATATGCGATAAAGAAACAAAAAACTTTTAATGATCAATAAGTAGAACGACGAATAGAATCAATTAACTTTATTGCAAATTATAATTGATGTGCGTGCGCGTCAGAAAGGAAAACTAGTTTATTTTTTGATGGTGGACACTTATTGATACAAATGCCAACAATCAGTTAAATCACTTTCGTCTTTAAGTGCAACGAATACTTAAATTGTTCCAATACGTGGAGAGGCCAGAGGAAGGTAAAGTCAACAGTCCATTTCCTGCATGCCAATTACCTGCAGGCTTCAATAATTACATACTGAATTGATCTCACAGCATGAGGGTGTGTCAAAGTAGGCGCTTAACTACAATTGCAGGCGTTGTAATTAGCCATTTCATCAAGCTAGGTGTGTATTGGACATAGAAACGTTGACAAGAAGAATAAAATCAAAATGAGAATCGGTCCAATTTGTATGCTTATGTAAGCACGTATATAAAACAAAGAGAAAGTGCTCGGTTTTCAACCCTAATACTTGTGAAAAGGGGATATACATCCCCAAGTATTAAGAGAAATTGAAATGAGCTACAATTGTTTTTGTAATTATTTAAGATTTGGAAATAGAATAGTAAAAGGTTGGAGCCCGAATGTGGCAATTCTTACGAAACTGGAAACATTTGAATTGTGGGTAGGTCTACAGGAAAATCCTGAAGGTATAATGGACGGAACACGTAACAAAATAGAAAGGCAGGAGAAGAATTAACGAAAGAATGGAAATTATAAAAAACTAGAGTAAGAGAACTGTAGGAAGGAGAAGGATAATAGCTACGAAACTCTAGGGAATATGGTATTGATGCACATCAAACGAATTGTTCAAAGGAGTCGCATCCAAAAGAAATCAGAAGTCATGATGATTGCCAACCCCGTGAGGAAGAAATGAATAGAATAATGATCTTTCGGATGAAAAGAAAAATTTACAAAAACTTCGTAGGTACTTGTTTAAATTAAGATACTTATTAAATATATACATATACTTACTCGAATACTCCTTTTGTGCTTGGGCCAAAAGCGAGGCAAAAACATGGCTATCTACAGACGGCCTCGATGGAAATTCTTCCTCACTGGAACTGTATCCTCGGTCACGTCGCCATTCTAAACTTCTTTGTCTTCGAACGCCACCTCCAGTGATTTTTAGTCCTCTTCTTCCGAGGGTGCCACTTCCCTTGTTCATTACTAAGTCATCTATAACGAAACAGATCTTATTTTTTTGTTAGCTTGTTTTCTCTAAATTCTTTTGTAAATAAAACGATGAGACAAAATAGACCTCTAGGACTGAGCTAACACTAGATTTTTCCGTTTTCCAGAGAGAGAGAAAGTAAGAGAGAGATTTTCAGCAGATATTTTAATTACGGTACTGCAACCGACGAAGCTGTGAACGTTCAGATAATTTAGGGCAGAAACCTTTGTGTTTCAACGCATAGTAATCACACAGAGTACATTTACCAATCAATAATGCAAAGGATGTACTTCATGACGTTCAGTTGCTACATCTGGGTGTTTATTTGTGGTAATATTGTATTCTGTTTGTTAACGCAGTGAAAGTTTCAAACTTCATTAAAATCCACCGTCCGATGGTCCAAACAAATTAGTATTTACCCGTTGCATATTTCCTTTCTTCTTTTTAATATAATGATACGTTAGTTTACAAACAGAAGTCGGAAATGAAATTTAAATCCTCCAGTGACCTGTACCGTTCGTTTTACTTTTCATTTTCGGATATTCGTGGATTGAGGTAAAATAAATAAATAAATAATCAGTAATATTTAAAAATGGTCTATTTTTCAACGCTATTTTGTTATGAACAATAGTTAATTGTTATACACACGTTTTCATTTGTGAGTCACGATTTCAAACTCTACACAATCCAAAAATTGCCTGTTTCTGGGATCTATTCCCTGACCTATTACCGTAACTATTGTAGTTAAAACACTTTACTAATGAAGTTGAAATTTCAAATGGGTATATGTAATATTCTGCAGCCGTTGAGATCGTATATTAAACATTTTTATTGGTAATTCGACGTCACATTGTTGTACCTAATATTTTATAGCTTGCTGTAAAAATTCAGTCACTTTGCCAATAACCGTAAAGCAAGGAAGTTCAGTTTAACTGCGACACAAATAACTCATCAAATTTAACATAGCTCGTAGTGGCAACTATATTCTTCCACGCGGCTACGTAATGCTCTAAAAGCTGCTTTATTCTTGCTACGTTTCGAGTAACTGTTCTTCCATCATTGGCCAAATCGTCATTGATATTAAAAACCGTTTCCATATTCCTTAGAGATGGCGTAGGAAGGAAATATGTCAACTCGTACAAAGTCTATAAGGGAAGATTTTCTGACATTTGAAGCAATTTTATGATTCCACCAACGCGGGCAAATATGAAACAGTCAAATGATAACTCTCATTTATATTGATAAGAAAGATTGCTTAAAGGTTCGTGGAACTAAAGGTAAACGCCCATAAAAGAGAAACCCAATCTTTTAAACAATTAATAGAGTAATCAGGCCCTTGTAAACGCTTTAGCTTTGAACCCCACCAGCTTTTCGGTGGCCCCTGATTCGTATATATACTATTTTCATGATGTATTAGGGTCAATTGAAAAGTCCCCGGCCTGACACATAGATGGCGGCACCAGAACTAAATCCATATGATTTTCAGTTAGTCCTAACCTTCAAAAGACGCGTCTATTTTTAGTGAAGCAACTTTGTGTGATTGTGAAAAAAATGGATAAAAAGGAATTTCGCGTGTTGATAAAATATTGCTTTTTGAAGGGACAAAATACAGTTGAAGCAAAAACTTGGCTTGATAACGAATTTCCGGACACTGCCCCAGGAAAATCAACCATCAAGGATTGGTATGCTAAGTTTAGACGTGGTGAAATGAGCACCGAAGACGGTGAACGCAGTGGACGCCCAAAAGAGGCTGTTACGGACGAAAACATTAAAAAAATCCACAAAATGATTTTGAATGACCGTAAATTGAAATTGAATGAAATAGCAGACACTCTACAGATATCAACGGAACGTATACATCACATCATTCACGAATATTTGGGTATGAGAAAGCTCTGTGCAAAGTGGGTGCCGCGCGAGCTCACTTTTGACCAAAAACAACGACGAGTTGATGATTCAGAGCAGTGTTTGAAGATGATCACGCGTAATAAACCCGAGTTTTTGCGTCGATATGTGACAATGGATGAAACATGGCTCCATCATTTCACTCCGAAGTCCAATCGACAGTCATCGGAGTGGACTGCACACGATGAACCCGCTCCAAAGCGTGCAAAAACGCAACAGTCGGCTGGCAAGGTTATGGCGTCTGTATTTTGGGATGCGCGTGGAATAATTTTCATTGACTACCTTGAAAAAGGAAGGACCATCAACAGCGACTATTACATAGCGTTATTGGACCGTTTGAAGGACGAAATCGCCGAGAAACGACCGCATTTGCAGAAAAAGAAAGTCCTGCTTCACCAAGACAATGCACCGTCTCACAAGTCAGTGAAAACGATGGCAAAAATTCATGAATTGGGCTTCGAATTGCTTCCGCATCCACCGTATTCTCCAGATCTGGCCCCCAGCGACTACTTCCTGTTCTCAGATCTCAAAAGAATGCTCGTTGGGAAAAAATTTTCGTCGAATGAAGAGGTGATCGCCGAAACTGAGGCCTATTTTGAAGCAAAGGACAAATCGTACTACAAAAATGGTATCGAAAAGTTGGAGGATCGCTATAATCAGTGTATCACCCTTGAAGGGAATTATGTTGAATAAAAAAAACGAATTTTGCAAGAAAAATGTGTTTTACTATTTTAGGCCGGGGACTTTTCAATTGACCTGTTACATGCATGACCACATCAATTTCCAAACTTAAAGAGCAGTATCGTTCGGAAACAAGTTATCGGAAATCGTTAGTTTCCTTCGAAAACCATAAACAAACTAAATCTCGAGCACATGTCGGTCTTGTCGTTACAATGTGAAGCGTTAAAGTTTTCCGTCCTGTAAAGTCTCTCGTGGAAGTTGTATTGCTGGTAAAGAACGTGCTCGTCCCCTAATCCGAAGGATGCATTTAGCAGCAGATAGCCTCGAGATGGCCCGTTGGTATCGATCTCCCTCCGCAACGACGCTTTGAACAAACACGGGAAACAAACAGCCCAACCCTTTCGACGACGTTAGCGGTGTCGGTCAGTAATGTGTTTTGACCATGACTCACACTGCCAAATAGAATCACGGATCCAACCGTTTTCGCTGACCAATTCTGGAAAACTTTAGGCTCGCTCGGAATTGTTCGAATTGGTTTGTTGAAAACCGCGTTCGATTAATGACTATCGTTACAGACAACAGAGATTTTGATTGGTCGACACCTTCAGGATAATGACATCCTTATAAATCTCAAAACTCTGATTAGGCATTATTTTTAAGGAACAATTATCCACATTAGAGACACAAGAAACTGGCATCAATTAGGCTACTTTGAATAGAATGCAAGAGAATTTAAATTTAGCTTTTTACTCATTACTAACACGTATGCTCAGTTTTAACATTTCTTTTTTTTATTGGATAGTAAAGAAACCATTGGTGTTGGACAAAAATTTCATTCTCGCTCTGTCCAAACAAAGGAAGGAATTCCGATGGCATATCAACGGAATACAGTAAAAATATATGTGAAAAGATCTGTGGAATTTAATTAAGTAAGACATTCAATAAACTATTCAGAAGGGCTACTCCAGCGAAGCAAGAAATGTTCACTTCCTTTAGGTAAAATTTCGATAATCGGACGTGAGAGGAGAATTCGTTCAGAAATTTAATTTTCACATTTCCTAGCGCTTTAAAGGAAATGATAAACGTTTGATGTCAAGTACATATAGGTATATGCCAACTTCCCGCTTCCATAAGGAAACGATAAAGTTTCTATCAATGCAGAAACTCGTAAAACATTTCCTAACAAGTATACGTATCTACAGATATTGCGAACTGTGCAGGTATGAATGTGTAATTATTCATAAAAGTGACTACAGCAAAACAATTACATCTAAAATAACATAAATTCTAATACTGTGGAAACAAATTGAAATATAATCGAAGCAAAGCTTCCATATGACGGAAAATATTTTGGATTGTAATTTTTAAAAAATTATGTGAGATTAGCTTATACTAGCTTAACGTCACACGTCCTCGTACGTTGTAGTTTCACTGAAGTGGCACCGCGCAGTAATCAGATGTGGCTTCTAATTTAAAAAGGGCCCAGGAACTTGGTTAACAACCAGCTACGTAATTACGTAGTTCGGGTACTGTCAGTAACGAAATCTCTTGACACGGAACATTACGGCAATACAATTAAAGATGTTAAACAAAGTTAACAGGAAACGAAGTTTGTGCAGCGCGCATTGGCTTGATTTGACTTGACTTGGATTGTTTGGTTATTCTCTCGCTTGTTACGATGCACTTTTGTTTTATCTGACAATAAAACTGGGGCAAAAACTGTTTTTGTAAGGACTTACTTTTTACGAAAGGCCTTAATTAAGTGTCGTGATTAATGGTAGGTAAAAAAAAAGGATTAAGTATTTCTTAAAAGAAATAATGTAATATTACGTTTGTACCTACTTGTCTCCACCGATTTATGGTTGACATATACAGAAAGGTATTAAACAACATTAGCTCATTTGCAGATAGATAATTGACTATAATTAAGGTAGTTAGTTGAGCAGCTACTTCGGTCTGAATTTATAGAGCACACTGTGGATTATTTTCCACATCTTCCTGCAGAACATCCGCCAAATGCAAGTATATTTGTCGTTGGAGCGTTTTATCCGAGATTTCTTTCTTCCGTTCCTCCAAGTGCGCCATTGCAGACAAATCCCTTTTGCGTTCCAGCTTCCGCCTTTACTTGCGCCTTCTAAATGAATAAAACTTGCTCGCACGAAATTTGATTCCTTACAGCTGCTATATTAAGATTAAATTCCGCTAGTCCCCAAGCAGAAATTTCCTTTAAAACACGTTCGCTATGTTGCTTACTGCTTCTACGCGATAATTCCATAAGGGAAGTTGTTTTTAAATGTGATCGTGAAATTACGTTTTACAAACTAATTCTGAATAACTCATTTTACTATCGTACTTTGTAGCAACAATTTTGCTTCGGTTATTTAATTTAACGTTGTTCTTGTGAATCCTGTAATTTACA